CAGTGAGGACGCCATGGAGTACTCCAAGGAGTTTGTGACAGCCGTGGTTCTGGGCAAAGACCTTGTTCCCAGGCAAGCCGCTGCTTCCTCTCGCTCTCAGCCCCGCTGTTCCTCCCTCCTCTGGGCCTCCCTCCTCCCCTCCCTCCTCCTGGCCTCCTTCCTCCCCGCCCTCCTCCCGGCCTCCCTGGGCTCAGGCCTCCCTCACTCAGATGCCTGTCTTCCCGAGGGACAAGGGGCACCAGAGCCCTTTCTGTGCCCTCGGGTGTCCCAGCCTGGAGGACCCGCCCTGCCTGGCCTCCCCTGCCCTGGCTGGCCCTCTGCCCACCCTGGGACCCTGGCAGCCTGGCCTTCCTGTTCCTGGGCTGGCATGTGCCTGTCCCGCTGCCCCCGCTTTCCCTCCCACTGTGCCCCTCCCCCTGTGCCTCTCCCCCTGTGCCTCTCCCGGCCTCTGGCCAGGCCAGGCTGATGCCCCCTCGTTCCTCTCCCAGGATCGGCCTGTCGCAGCTGGAGGGGTTCCGCAGGCAGCTCCTGGACGTCCTGCAGCGGAGCACCAAGCCCAAAGTGAGCCCGCCCGCCTGCCCTGGGCCCCCGGCTCTGGGCACCTGGTCTGCCGCGTGTGCGCCGCCTGTGCCCCCGCCCACAGCACAGCGGCCGGGCCATGCGTGGCCAGGCTGGGGTGCGGTTGGTGCCAGGGCACCTCAGGTCATCAGAGCTCACCCCCGCCTGCCCTGGTCCACGTGGGGAAACTGAGGCCACAAGCAGGCGAGGGACTTGCTGTGGTCACACAACAAGTAGTAACTGAGTCAGTGTCCCGCCGCGGGCCCTGGGTCCCGGCTCCTGCCCCACAGAGCTGCCCAGAGTCGGGAGAGAGCAGCCCCACTCGGGGCTTCGTGTGGGACGGAAAGGCCTCTCCCAAAGCCGCCCGTGGCCCCCCGACTCCGGCAGGCGGGCGCTCCCCGGGGTCGGTGCGGCTCACTCCGATTTTCCACTGCGGCCGAGCGAGGTGACCCGCCCCTCCTCACCCCCCCTCGGGTCTCAGAGGACCCTGTGGCCAGGCAGGGGCGGGAGTGCTGGGGCTGCACCCTGAGGTGGGCAGGGGCGGCCTGGACCAGCGGGTCCTCTGTGCCCCCAGCCCTCATCCCATTTGCCGTCTCAGCCCAGGTTGGACTCTTCCCAGCCTCGGTGCCCCTGGCCCTCTGGCAGGCAAGACCGGGGCCAGGTGCCAGGGTGGGCCGGGCAGTGAGGTCTCAGTGACTATGTCTGCCTGGAGGAGCTTGTGGGGCTGGAGGTGGGCTGTCCCTGTCAGACCCCGTCCTGGGCACTTGTCGGACCCGGAGTCGGGGGGCTGGGTACCAGCCCGAGGCAGCCAGGCCGGCAGGTGCAAGTCCCTCCCCCTCGCTGGGCCCGTTCCCCGCCCGCTAGATCAGGGGTGGCTGGTCCTCCGGGGCCTTCCCCACCCGGACCCTCAACAGTGGCTTACGTCTGCCCCTGACATCTTGGCGGCCGTCACGGCTGCCGTCCAGCTCAGACACTGCCTCTGCCCGTGGCCACCCCGCTCCCACTGTCACCTGTGAGCCCTCCATCTGAGCTCCTCCGTCCCCGCCCACCCAGCTGTCCTGCCCAGCTGGCCCGTCTCCCCCTCCCCCTGCAGTGGCGAATCATCGTGGGAGCCACTAAGTGCATCCCCAAGTCGGAGCTGCCCGAGGAGGCGGAGGTGACCGCCATGGCCAACACGCGGCTCTGGACCCACCCCAGCGACCTGACCATCGCCCTGTCGGCCAGCACCCCCCTCTACCCGCCCGGCCGTATCATCCACGTGGTGCACAACCACCCCGCAGAGCAGTGCTGGTAGGTGCTGCCCAGGCCCTCAGCGGGAGGTGGCACCCAGACCCTCAGCGGGAGGTGATGGCACCCAGACCCTCAGCGGGAGGTGGTGGCACCCAGACCCTCAGCGGGAGGTGATGGC